TTTATTAAGCAAAATTTGGGTTGTAATTTAGCTTTCCATGTAGTGCTTCCCATGTAGAAGACACAGTGCTGGCTGGTCATGCTAATTAGGTTTAAGACAATTTGACACTTCACATATCTCATTGGAAAGTAGAAAATTAACCTTGTTTTATTAGTTCATCACGAATAATTACATGCCCTATTTAATGGTTATTTATCATTCTGTCTGCCCCCAAAGCACTCTCCATCTTCTGTGGAAATGTCTACCAATGACAAACTTCACTACCCTAACCAAGGAAGTAGGTATATGACCTAGCCTGGGCCTTTCATTATATTTACCACTTCCTGGCTATAGTGACTGATCCAAAGGATAGGCACATGACCTAAGCTGGGGCAGTCCTCTAGATTTTAAACACTAAGGCTTGGAGAAAAGTGCTTTTATTCCTCAATATGTAGGCTCCATCACGGTATGAGCCTGGAGCAGATGTTGGCCAAACTCTCTGTGAAAAAACCCAAGGAAAAGCACAGACCCAGAGAGAAAGTAGAGACAAGCGTGATGAGAGGTGGCAGCAGTCCTGATGTATTATAATGTCTAGTCAAGACTCTGACATTAGCTATACCTCTAGCTTTCTGGATTTAGTTACTTCCTTTTCCTTAAGCCAGTCTCAGTTTTGCAACAAATAGAGAAGAAACGTCTAATGCTATAAGATAAAGAAATGGCTTTCAGTAGGTAATATTTGCATCATTATCTATTAGGCTTTAAACATTTACTTCTGTCCCACACAAAAAAGAAGGTATATTCCCAGTAAGATTTTCTAATTTTTGCATATAATATACACAATAAAAGATTAAATGTAGTCCTAGCTGATGTGGCTCAGTGGATTGAGTCCCAGACTGCGAAGCAGAGGGCCGCAGGTTCCATTACCTCAGGACACATGCCTGGGTTGGGGGCCAGGTCCCTGGTGGGGGATGCATGAAAGGCAACCACACAATAATGCTTTTCTCCCTCTCTTTCTCCCTCCCTTCCCCTCTGTTTAAAAATAAATAAGTAGAATTTTTTTAAAAAGATTAAATGTAAAGTCTTTAAACTTTTTAAAAGATTTTACTTAATTATTTTTAGAGAAAAGGGAAGGGAGAGACAATCCATTGCCCCTCACACACGCCCCAACTGGGGCCAGCTGGCAACCCAAGCATGTGCCCTGACCAGGAATCAAACCAGGGACCTGACCTTTTGCTTTGGGGGACAACCAACCAAGCCACACTAGTAAGGGCAAGTCTTTAAACATTTTAAACTAGACATTTTAAGGTGAAAGCAGGGAAGAATTGAGATGTACTAAAAAGAACAATGAATTAATAAGATTCATGAGATCAAAGTTTTCACTGTCTTTGTGCTACTATGTTACCATGGCAAATCACTTATTCTCAGTAAGCTACAATTTCTTCAACTGTCTACTTTATTCCTAAGATTGCTTCCAGTGCTGAAATGATTGAATAATTTCCAAGATATAGAAACATATTTCCCATTCACATTATTCATATTCATATTAAATGAAGAAAAGAGTTAAATTCATTTTTAAATATAAATTCAACTTTTCCCACCTATGTGAGTCTACTCTAAAAACATACAATTCTCAAGGATCATTATCACAAGCAAAAGATCCTGCCAAACAAAAAATGTGAATCCCAAATGAAGATATTCAATAGAATGAATATTTGGTGTAAATTAAATGGTCTCTTAGAATTAGAGCTTTCTTCTTCCAATTACTTTTAAGATCTCTAAAACTAGAAAATTGAATAAAATCTTAAAAAAAAAAAAAAAAAGCCCTGGCTGGCGTAGCTCAGTGGATTGAGCGCGGGCCGAGAACCAAAGTGTCCCAGGTTCGATTCCCAGCCAGGGTACATGCCTGGGTTGCAGGTTATAACCCCCAACAACCGCACATTGATGTTTCTCTCTCTCTATCTCCTCCCTTCCCTCTGTAAAAATAAATAAATAAAATCTTTAAAAAAAAACCTAGAAAATTGTAGATTTTTTTCTTGATTATGTTAAAGCATACCTTGTCCTGTTACTAATTTAGATTTCAGAATATTCTAACGATGAGGGGGAAAAGAAACTCAACTCAATACAAACATTACACAGGGAAGAAGTAAAGTGGGTTATACAGAAAACCCCAAATTAGAAATCTTCAGAAGACCAAGTTATGAAAAATTTTATTCTCATTATTAACTTTCCTTCGAAGGGCAAGATTTCTGATAAGTTTTCAGACTCAAATGAGCCAACTTTGTAACTTTGCCTAAAAAAAAAATGGAAACAACAACTTTGGCAAACTTTTAGAAGGCCCATTTGAAAGTCAGGCCCCAGGTCTATTCCACATGTGGGTGGGGAGCGGGGGCATGTGTCCTACAAGTGAACTCTGTGACACCAAAGATATCCCTCAAAATGAGATTAAAAGCAACACTACTTTCGTGTTGCTTTGGCAATAAAAGGGGAACTTTACTCCAAGTAAGTCCTCGATGCTGACCTAAGGCGGTAAAGGGACTACTTTTGCTCATTTCATTAAACTATACCAGACCCACACCCAAGCGCACCGGCTGCGTCTCAGTAATGAAATAAATGAATCAGGGAAAGAGCCGACCTCCCCTGAGCCGGAGGCTCCACCCCGAGATCCCGGGACGCACTCAAGGCTCCTGTACCACTGGGCACTTCGACGGTTGGGGCCTGCGGTTGCCTCTCGGCCTCTGCGTGGCCGACTCACCTCGGCGTCTTCTTTGCACTGTGGGAGAGAGGGGAACTCCAGCTTCAAGTCCTCCATGATCCCGGCCGGCTGATTGGTGGGTGAGATGGGAGTAGGAGTTATTCGCCAGCCCGACCCTCGGGCTGGCAGTAAGAGGGAGCGCCGGTAAACCGGAGGGCTGACGGACGGGCAGCGGCCTTACTACTAACACAGGCAGACCAAAGGGTCCCGGCGACTCCGGCGGCGGCGGCGACCACAGAGGGGAAGAGGAGGGTTAGGCGGCTCATACCGGGCCGCCATTATGCTGCGGTATCCCTAACCCCTAGTCTCCGCACCCCTCAGGCCACCCAGGTTCGGGCACCAGCTCGAGCCTTACAACCGTCTCCCCTCCTTGCCCCCCGCCCTCCCTGCACCGCGCTAGCCAATCCCAGCCCACGCGTGTCTTCGGCCCGCCCCGCCGCCGCCAGGTGTCAGCGCGTCGACGCCCCGCCCCTTCGCGAGAGCGCAGACGCGCGGGGTGGGGCCTGAGGCTCCCTAGCTCGAGCCCGCGCGCGACGTAGGGGAGGCGGGGCTGCAGGAAGAGGGAGAGAATGTTTGAAGGTCTTGGGAAAGGCAGTGGGGCAATGCAGCTCCACTGTTTCCAGGCAGATCCGGGTCTCTTTGGTACTAAGAACGGTCAAAACACCCTAGTCACCAGTAGCTGGCATCTGCAAGGAAACCTATAGTTTCTCCCTTTTCAGAATGCTGGGCAATCTGAAGTGAGGTTCTAACCAAAAGAGTAATGAGTGAAGCGTTCATCTTAAAATTGTTAGGCTACACAGAAAATGAAACACCCATCACTTTTATGCAAACTTAAATGGTGGAGTATATGACAACTAGAAAATCTCAAGAAATGGCTAATAGGAAAAAATCCTAAGAAACAGAAATGGAATTGATAGCTCACTCAGTAAATTGTACATAATATTTAAGAAAGAATTCTCCCTTTAACGAAGTTTATTAATATTTCAACATTGTGATAAACCACAGGGCTTTCAGTATCTTTTAGAAGGGGCTCAAGAGTTAATACTATATTGTTAATAAAGATCAGGTATGTGATGTTTTTCTCTGGGCCTAGGGAGATACTATTACCCTTTTTGTTTAAACGGGTGAGGAAAATCAAACTTGGAACCCACACATAAACATTTAAGGTTTGTACACCAAACTGATTCTTGAAAAAAAACCAGCACCAAAGTAAAAAAACAAAGCAAAAGTCATTTATTAATTAAATTGCAAATTACAGTGGATAAAGTAAAAAGAATTACATGGATATTTGACCTAGACCTTCCCCCACAAATATCCTATTACTTTTTATATTGTTGTATTTATGAAATGCACTGTCAACATATTATAGAAATGGAACTGTTCAATAATTTGAGTAATAGGTGGTTGGCTTGAGTGGTCCATTTTCTCTACCACTATGTAATCTGTTCTGTATCTTTTAAGGTTATGAAAAGGTATACAATACTCTGATAGTAAGATTTTAATTTGATTTAATTATTTTAATTTGAATGATTGTAATTACCCAGGTCATTTATAGTTGTTTTTTTTTTTTAGTGTTTATGAATCTGAAGTCTAGTTTTTTTAACACCTTTAATAAGGTAATTTTACTTGATACCCAATGGTGATTTCCTATTGTAATTTGTTAAAGCTTTAATTGCCACATGATATAAACAAGAACTGTGTACAGCTAACAGGACTTTTTTTGTGAACATTTCTGACATCAACATCTACCTACATCAGACACTCTTAGTCTGGTATCCATAGACACCTACAGAGTTCATGGGTGAGCTTGTAAAATAATAAATCTCCTTAACTTTTAGTATTTGCAAAATTGCATATAGTTATGTGTGAATTTTTCTGGGAAGAAGGTCCATACCTTAACATTCTAAAAAGGGAACTTTCATCTCATATAACTTAAGAAAACTAAGTCACATTTATTACAGAATATTACTTTCAATCATAATCTTAAAAGTTATGGATGTGCCTGTACTATTTCAATGAACTATTACACAGCCTAAATCATAGTAGGTGGAAATTGAATAAAGACTTTATGGAAGGAGGAACAGACATAGACGTAGACATAAAAACACATAACAAGATACTGTTATGAAAACAGGGTGGGTACTGTTTTAAATTAAAGTTCAAATGCCAACAATCTAAATGCAACTTTACCTTGGTTATTAAATAGTTTACTTACTAAAAACCCTAAAGGACTATATAGTAAATGTAGTTTTATAAAAGACAGTATGTGTAGAGCTGAGTCAAACAGATTTTATTCAACTTTTTAGGATGAGGAAAACAAATGACATATGTCATAAGAAATGCTCTTTGTACTACTATCTCAAATCATTTTCAGTGTTTTACAAAATGCCCACACAGCAAATACGAAAAGCCACAACATACTCTTTTATAACTTCTGCTGCAATAAATGCAGCATTAACAAATATACATATTTCTTCTGTACCAATCTTCAATGTAAAATTACTGAATTACTAAGTTTTGTTATTCATCTCTTTATTCATACACTTTTAATGAGATCATTGCCAATACGTACATTATTTTCCTTAACTTCATTTTTACATTAAGCCAATGTCTGTTTATGCACATCCATCAAAATCCTTACAGTATATTACACAGGTTTGTAGTCTAATTTTGACTCTAGCTTCTTAGAATCAGCCACTTTTCTGACTGCTTTCATGAAGTCTTCCTGTACTACAAAATCATGATCAGCACGAATTGCAAACATACCTGTGGAGAATAAAACAACATAACTGCTTTATATAATATGTGAGTTATGTATTATAAGAAAACTAAATAATGTAATTCTTTGGAATAAATGAAGAAGCCTACATTTACTACTTCTGAATCAGTAGTTCTGATTTGTTAAAAATTACTTTCATTGTTCAGTAAATTTCCATAGCAATCATGAGCATTATTTTCTAAACCAAAAGCTAGAAAACAATGAGACAATTATCTGAATATTTAAAATCCGAATCACACAATCTCTGTATTCAATGGCAACTTGAAAACAAAATCCAACTATAAACAAAATATACACACTTTAAGCAACCGTATCTTTGTTTTAAATAAAGATTTTATTTATTTTTAGAGAAAGGGGAAGGAGAAAAAGGGAGAGGAACTTTGATTGCAGGCCTCAACTGGGGGCCTGACCTGCAACCCATGCATGTGCCCTGACCCAGAATTGAAACAGCACCTTGCAGGCCGCAAGTGCTCAATCCACTGAGCCACACCAGCCAGGGCTAAGCAGTGGTTTCCTAACTCTACAAGCAGCAGTTCCTTGAAAGGAAGCAGTGCATATATGGTTTGGGAAAACACAAAACACCTTCAGTAATTCTGACAGCCCTTACTTGTTAATAATCAAAGTACAGAGAATAAGACATTTAAAAAAGCCAAAAGTGGGCTTTAACAAAACCCAGTGCCATTATTCACATATTACAATTATGCTATTTATATGCAAATTGACATTTTAATGACTTTCCTATTCAAGTATCACAATTCAATTTTTTTCCTTTAAGTTTCTGATGTGACTTTTCAAATGCTGATTGACAAAGGGATAAAAGTTTTTGTTTGTGTTTTTCCTTTTTAACTTTATGTAGTTGTATCACAGATATAGATCCCAGGTCTTCAGAGACTCCCAATTTGATGACAACCTACAGCCAATAAGGTATCACTATCTACTAATTAAATGCATCCTACTAATATTTTCATTGAGGATCTGCTTATATTGAATTTTCACTTATATAAAATGAATGGGTTTGAATAGATTTCGAGGGTTACTTCCTATCTTCCCTTTAAAGATTTCTAATTACCAGGAGCCTTGAAAATAGCTACTCTATGTTGTCCTGAGAAAAGAGATGAATAGAAAATTTTTAATGATTTTTTAATACTGTAGTTTTAAAATTTGTTTAGAAGGCTACAACTAAATTAGGAAAGTTATTTTTCCAAACCTGTGTTTCCAGATTTAGTAAATGAATGAAGCTGAGATACATACTAATCCAGAAAGTGTTGGGTATCACCCTGCCTAGTTTCAGAAGCTGTAACCCCGCCAAGGCTAAGGCTGAGGGAGCAACCTTGGACCATAAGCCACTGAGGAGACAAAAGCTTATCTCCCTGGCAGGAGCAGCGCTTCTGCTCCTTTTACTTCATCCATAACTGGCCCCCAAAGCTTGGTCAGTTAGCTAATGACAGGTAAGATTCCCCAAGGGGGGAATGACCTAAGACAGGCACGATCATGTGGGAGGCCCCCAAGGAAGGACTTTGGGGGGTACAGCAAAAGCGGGTGATGGACCCTCACCCCTTGGCTTTGACAAAGCCTGAGTCCTCATTCTGTCTGCAAGAAGTCTCCTAATCTCTTGGCTGCCTTACTTCCCTTGCTCCACCCAAGTCTGAAACAATGACAGAAGGTGGTGCAGCTCTGTGTTGGAAAGGGCGGGTTCCCCAGGCGATCAGGCCTAAGAAAGAATATGTAAAATCCTATGAAACCTGCTTTGTTTAGAATGCTCAATTAAATGATAAGGGTCCAAGGAAGAAGTAAGTTTGTTCCTCAAAGTTTTACAGCTCTTTGGCTATGTGACCCTGACTCAAAATAGGCCCTCAGAGTTCTTTGTTATCTATTGTTTGATCCTTACTACCTGACAATGATTAATGAGCTTTATCCTGTGCAAATGAACCCAATAAAAGCCCATTGAGGAACAGGCTCCTGGTCCTTCTCCTTGGAGAGATCAACCACCTTTCCTCCCCAAGCAGATCATGTCTTGGTAGACCTAATCTCATCCATTGCGGCCGGGGGGCGGGGGCCGGTGTCCTGTGGGCAGAACTCCCCAACAAGAAAGCATGAAAATCTCTACATTTGAAAGGAAAATGCAACCATAACTGAATATAGTGTTTTAACTTACAGAATTAACAAAAAAAGTTTGAAGTCTAATTAAAAAAAAAAAAATTTTTCAGTATGTCTCCAGATGTGAATATCCCAACTAAAAAGCTATAATGCTAATCTACACAGAAGTTATAGTTCCTTTTTGGAAATACCTAAAAATAATTTTTTATATATGTGGAAAAAAAGAGATCATCATAATTTTATGTTATCAGCCTTTGAGATTTTGACACTGCTTTTGTTTGGATTCCATTTTCACTAAAGCAAGCTTTTTAATAATTAAGTTGGTTGATATAGATTTTGGAAAGAAAATGTCATAAACTATTTCAGGTACTTCAAGTCACATGACAATTTACCTCTTAATATATTTTTATTCATTAATAAGTCTTTGTGAGCATGATTTACTCTGATTCATACTGAGGGTTTCTAGACCTGTAGATCTTTGATTCAGATACTGAGTCACAATATACCCACAAAGATACTCCTATGGAAAAGCTATGCCTGAGGAGCCAGCCTCTTTAAATGCTGTGTTGAATTTACAAGAAATGCTAAAATAGGCGTAAGGTGATATGAAAAAGAGGTAACCACATATTGTAACACTTTATCATAGACATTTTTTCCATTTTAAGATTCTGTGTGGAGGACAAAGACTAATTGACTCTATGTAGGGTTTTAAAGCCACTTAGTACCAAAAATAAAAATAAGACACAATCCATAGAGAAAATAATACTTAAAAACTATTATATTTTACAAGTTGAATGAACACAAAATTCATAAATCAATTTTCAAAGCTTAGTACTGATAGGCTAGCATCAAAAAGAATGTCATCCACTTTGTAGCAGATTCCTCTGGTGCTGTCCCAGTCTCAGTTCAGCCATGGGTGTGGGCAAACAATTCTGTACAGCCTCATACTTACTTCAGGGAACCAGTATCCTATCACATGTCTATCTTTCCACATTCTACTCTAAGGCATCCAGAAGTGCAAAAGAGTTAACATTCCAAAGAGTAAGTCTCATCAAATGGGGGATGAGAGCTGGAAAATAAATGCCAGTCTTACGTCTTGTAACAGGGTAATCATAAATGGCATTCTGTATGTTTTTCTGAGGGTCTCTTCAAAAATCAACCCCCCGCCATGGTATACCCTTATAACTTTCCCTTTTCCCATCTCACTTGCCCTGTTCTTTCCTGCTTCTTCAAATCTGTCCCCCAAAACAAGTACCCAATTCCTTACAAAGCCCAGGCTCTACTTTTAGACAAACTCAACACATTTTTAGCAATGTAAATAAAAATCAACAACAAAAACTACTTTAAAAACATACCTGCTTCAGTACAAACATTTCTTAGGTCTGCTCCATTAAAGCCATCTGAAAGCTTCACAATTGCTTCATAATCTGTTTAGGAAAAAAATAGTGGAAATTAGTTTTTAAAAAGAGACCTCTTTCTGATTTATGCTCACGTGAAAAATTTAAACTGAAGAGCTTGCTTTGAATTTGATCAGCTAGGCCTCATCTCTGTTAATGTTCTACAATATTAAAAACCACAAGCTATACTTCTGTTAAGTAAACCAGCACCAAGTATTTATTCAGAAATAAACATACTTCTGAAACTTTAAAACCAAGAAATATGCTCAATATCTGAAAACATGTTAATTTTCTATGCAGTGAAACAGTTATGCCCATGTGAACTTCAGATTATCAGTCAAGTATAACTCATTAAAACTGTAAACAAATATTTAATTTGAATAAACCAAGGCATCCAAAACAAACTGTAACAACAGTGGAATTTAATCACATAAGACAAATATAAATATACCAAAATAGTCATCAGAAATAATTTTATCATGGAATTTTCACATGCTAGATCAAGCATTGGGTAGCTTTCCTGGTTTTTGTGTAGGCTCCGAGTGGTATCAGATCTAATGATAACAATAATTATTAAGTGACCTTTCTAGTCACATGACAGACTTAAAGAACTGCTGGTGTGGGATAGCAGTTATGGACTTGATACAGAATGGGGAGAAAAATAAGAGACAGAATAAACCTCTACAATGTAAGTAACTTTTGAGACACCCTTTATCAGACAATCCAGAGCGTGTCAATTTCTATTAGAAATCATACAAATATTCATTAATTAGTCTTCATTCAGATCTAAATTAATAGTAAACTTCCTGAGATTAGGGATTCCCAAGGTTAACACAGTATATGGCACCTAGCAAGAGCTCAGTATTGAAAGAAATCTATAAATTGACATTTTTAGTTCAGCCCAGGCCTTCCAGCTCAAAACTCTTTCACATGAGTAATGAAAAAATTAGTGAGGGGCAATAATAAACTAATTATAATTGTTTTGGACCATTAACTTCTAAAGGGTTTTTAAGAGTTGCTTAGTAATTATACTAGATTCTTTTAATCCAGGGGTCAGCCAACTTTCTGTAATGAGCCAGATAGTAAATATTTTTTAGGCTTTGTAGGCATAAGGTCTCTGTCAAAAGTACTCATTTCTGCGGTTAGAGTGTGAAAGCAGTCATAGACAAACTACAAATAAAGGGTTGTGTTATAACAGAGCTGTATTTACAAAAACAGAAGGCAGATAGCATTTTGCCCCCAACCCATGGTTTGTTGGCCTCTACCCTAGTCCAATCTCTCAAACCTATAAATAAATATTTTATAACCTCTCCTCTGTCCTTAAATCTTTAACAATCCTTTCCCATCTTGACTCTGAGCTTGCTTCCTATTTCAATTAGAAAATAAAAGTATTCAGAAGAAAAATTCTAGAAGTTCCTGCCATTATTGAGAACCTATCATCATCAGCATCTATATATTCTGCCTTCCCTCTTCTTCTTGTAAATGAAGTCTGTGTGTAACAGAGTGCAGCCAGGTGGGCCCCCAAACAAGGATTTGTAATGGGGTCTAGGAAACATTAAAAAGATATAAGATGTCCTCATCCCCACAAGTCTGAACTGGGGGATAGGACACATGGAGCAAGCAGGGCAATTGAGAGTTGTTTTGCATACCAACAGTTTTCCAACTTAACCTCAAGCATAGTCATTTAACATATCTATAACTTTTAACTGGTTTCATGGATATGTTAAGTAGCTTTGGCCAAGCTTTGAGCCAGGGAGATGGGAGTGACTCCAACCCATGACATAACTGGGAGGCAACTCTCCCTGGTTACAGCACCTGCATGAGAGCTTAGAGTTGACTGGCTCCACACCATGGGGCCATGCCTGCCCAGACTTACTATGGCACCCCAGTGCTGGAAAAAATATAGGAATGCGGGCAGGTGTAGCTGATTGTGGGAGGAGTCCAAAATGGGGCTGCTGAGGAACCCAGGTGCAGCAGTCATGAAAAAGGGAGACCACTCAGCTTTTGGGGAGAAAGGGATAGAAAGGGAGATCAGCACAGTTTTCGGTCTCCCTTTGCCATGAAGCTTAGGAAGCCGGAAGACAGGATGTAGCAGCATGGAGCACACTCTCAGCAGTTTGGAAGAATGCAGAAGAGACTGTGCAGGAAGGAATCAGGTGAAAGGACTCTTTCTTGCTGGTGGACCAGGAGAAGGTGTCACATGGTTTTAGATTAAGAACTAGAGATCCCAGCAACACAGCTGACGGTGCTGGGAACTGAGGGAGGCCTGCCAGCTGAGCTGATCACGGATTACTGGGAAGAGCCAGGGACTACCTGAGCTACAGACTTCTATTTCTTTTCCTGAGATATGGTACCCCAGACTGGGCAAAGAGGGGAATGAAAGATTGTGTGTGTTTGTGGGTGTTTTAAGGGACTTTGAGATTTTAATTAAGAGTCTAAGTCTGTATAACTTTTTGAATAAATAATTCCATTCCTTTTCACCAATCCCTGGCATTGAGAGCTATAATTCCCTGGCAGTGGGCAAGCCAAAAGCAGTACAGGGGGACCTGGGAAAAAGGGGGGGTCCACTTGGTAACAGTATATCGTCCCCTCTCCATGGGTCTGTTCGGTAAGATATGCTCATAGACAGGGCCAACTCCTCTTCAAGAAAAGTGCATTTTCAATTTCTCCCTCTCCTAGATTATACCATCAGCATAAAAATTAAGTTCTATCTTAATGAGTACTTCCCCAAATCCTTATCTCCATTTCTGCTACAGCTCTTTTTCTTCTCCTCTTTGCTATAGAACTCCTTTAAAGAAGAGTTCAGGCCAAGATGGAGGCATAGGTAGAAACCCTTCGCTTCCTTGCACAACTAAAATGAGGATAACAACCAATCTAAAAACAACGAACAACTAGAAGTGCCAGAAAATCAAACTCCATGGAAATCCAACAACCAAGGAATGAAAAGAAACAGTCAACCAGACCAACCAGACCAGTAGGAGGGAGATGGGGCAGACAGAGAGAACCTGTGGCAAGGTGGTGGACTGTGTGGGCAGGGATGGCTGAAAGGGCCCTCAGTGAGGCAGCTGACCAGACCGCATAGCTAGGCAGGGGCTGGCCGACAGAACCAGGGGCAAGGTGGCAGACCTCTCCAGTAGAGCTGGCTGAAAGGACCTGTAGTGAGGCAGCAGACAGCACAGGCAGGGCTGGCTGAATGGGAAACCAAGACTCAGAGCTCACTGTGGACTACAGTAGGGATTGCCACCATGGCAGAAACTCCCAGTCTCACACGAGTTTGTTGGAAAGTGGGGCTAGAACCCAGCAAACAAGCTGCATTGTTCCTCCTCTGGCCCCTCTACCACAGATAGCACCACAGTGTGGCAAAGAGGGTTGCCCTACCCTGGTGAATACCTAAGGCCCCTCCCCCTTACAACTTAACAGGTGCGCCAAGACAAAGAAATAGGGCCCAAATGAAAGAACAGAGCAAAACTCCAGAAAATGAGCTAAGCGATGAGGAAATAGCCAACCTATCTGATGGAGAGTGCAAAGCCCTGGTATTCAAGATGCTCACAGAACTGATTGAGCTTTGTCACAAAATGAAAGAACGAAGGAAGGCTACACAAAGTGAAATAAAGGAAAATATACAGGGAACCAACATTGAAGGGAAAGAAACTGGGGCTCAAATCAATGATTTGGAAGAAAAGGAAGAAATAAACACCCTACCAGAACAGAATGAAGAAACAAGAATTCAAAAAAATGAAGAGAAGCTTAGGAACCTCTGGGACAACTTTAAACATTCCAATATCCAACTTATAGGGGTACCGGAAGGAGAAAAACAAGAGCAAGAAGTTGAAAACTTACTGGAACAAATAATGAAGGAAAGCTTCCCCAATCTGGCCAAGGAAATAGAATTCCAGGAAGTCCAGGAAGCCAGAGAGACCCAAAGAAGTTGGACCCAAACAGGAACACACCAAGTCACATCATCAAGTTACCCAAGATTAAAGACAAAGAATCCTAAAAGCAGCAAGAGGAAAGGTGAGAGTTACCTACAAAGGAGTTCCCATAAGGCTATCAGCTGATTTCTCAAAAGAAATCTTCTAAGCAAGATGGGGCTGGAATGAAGTATTCCAAGTCATGAAAGTCAAGGACCTACATCCAAGATAACTCTACCCAGCAAAGCTTTCATTTAGAATGGAAGAGCTTCTCATTTAGAAAGAGAAAGTGCTTCTCAGATAAGGCCAAGTTCAAAGAGTTCATCATCATCAAGCCCTTATTATATGAAATGTTAAAGGGACTTATCTAAGAAATTGAAGATCAAAAACTATGAATAGTAAAATGACAACAAAATCATAACTATCAACAACTGAACCTAAAGCAATAACAACAAAAACAAATACTAAGCAAACAACTAGAACAGGAACAGAATCAGAGAAATGGGCATCACATAGAGGGGTTTCAGTGGGGAAGAGGGGAAGGGGAGGGAAAAGGTAGGGGGTAAAGGTACAGGGAATAAGAAGCGTAGTTGGTAGACATAAAATAGACAGGGAAAGGTTAAGAATGGTATAGAAAACAGAGAAGTCAAAGAACTTATATGTACAACTCAAGCATGTGAATTAAGGCGGGGTGAATGCTGGAGGGTTGAGGGGTACAGGGCAGAGGGGGGATAAAGGGAGAAAAACTGGGAAAACTGTAATAGCATAATCAATAAAATATACTTTAAAAAATTCATTGAAAGAAATGTCTAAACTCAATGTCTCTCCAATCTTTGTGAAACCCATTTGAAGTAGGCTTGCTTTCCCACCTCTCCAAAGAAATTGTTTCTGGTAAGTCACTGATGATCTCTATACAGTATATCCCAAAACCCATTCTCAGAACTCTTATCTGACCCATTGTCAGCATTTCACAGGGAATTAATCCCTCCTTATAACAACTTCTTCATTTGTCTTCTAGGATACCACCAGCTCCTGGTTCTACTCCTAACTCTGTGACTATACCCTCTTAATCTCCTTTTATGGTTCTTCATCTCAACTTCTTAATGTCAGAATTAGCTCAATTTTTGAATCTTTTCTCTATCCACATTCACTTCCTCAGAAATCTCATATAATCTCAATACTTTAAAACCATTTTTATGCTATTACCCACGTTTATACATCAAGCATAGACCATCCCAACAAACTATTGATGCATAAAGGATTACTAATCAATATCTACATGTGGATATCTAATTGGCACCTCAAATTTAATATATCCAGAATCAAATTCCTTATTCTCCCTTTAAAACCAAATCTTTCCAGTCTTCCCTTATTTATTTTTTATCGATAGTAACTTCATCATTTCAGTTATGCAAGTCAAAAACCTAGGTCTTCCCTGGTTCTCTTTAGCTCCCACGCCACATCCAATTTATCAGCAAATTTTGTCACCTCTATTTTCAAAATATATCCAAAAATCTCATTACTTTAAAACCACTGTGGACCAAGTCACCAGCTTTGCCTGGATCACTGAAATAACCTATCTAATCCTCTGGCTTCTTTTCCTTTTTCATGTATCTATAATAATCTTTTAGCCTAAGTGAATTTTAAAATATTTACAGATAAAATGAAACATTTACAGATATAACGCTGAGATTTGCTTTTTAAAAATAGAGAGACGATAAGGGGTAGGTGACATTATAGATGAGAAGTTTCATCCGTAGAGTTAATAATTACTGAGGCTAAGTGATGAATGAGTACCTGGGGTCAGAAGTTCATTATACGCTTAATTCTACTTTTATTATTTCTAGTTTTCTACAATAAAAAGTTCAAAATAAGAGAAAGATCATTCCTTTGCTCACAATCCTCCAATGGCATCCATATCTCTAAAATTAAAATTAAAGTTCCTACATGGTGGACTCAGTAAGGCTCTACACAATCTGGTCCTCATTACTTCTATGATTTCACTTACTGCTACTACTGTCCCATTTACTCTGCCACTAACACCGTGGCCTCTTTGCTGCTCTAGAATGTTCCAGACAAATACTTTCTTCAATGCCTTCTTACTTGCTGCTTCCTCTGCATAATTTCCCTTCAAATATCCATATTTAGTTCCTTCACCTTTGCAGGCCATTGCTTAAACATTACCCTCTTTGTAAGGCCGCCCCCTTCGCACCTCCATTTACGTTTATATAAACACACAGGCACACATGCACATATGCATACCCGTCCCTGGCATTACCTAGTCCCCTTTTCTTGATTTATTTTTCTCCATAGCACTTACTACCATCCATTATACTATATATTTTACTCACTTTATTTGTCTTTCCCTGATAATATATATTCTATAAAGGCAGAAATTTGTCAGTTTCCTTCACTGCTATATTCCCAGCACTTAGAAAAATTCCTAACATGCCGTTGAGGGTAAATAAATATTTCTAAATTGAAAATCAGATTTGAGGCATAAAGCACAACTTCCAGCCAAGATAGAACATAGGTAAACTTGCTTCACCTTCTCACACAACCATAAGAAGGATAATAACCAACTAAAAACAAAAACCAACCAGAACTGCCAGAAAATTAAACTGTATGGAAGTCCGAACCAAGGATTTAAAGAAGAAACATTCATCCAGACGGGTAGGAGGGGCGGAGAGGACACAGTGTGGTGCAGCGTTAGCTGGCAAAATGGGCAGTCCCACATTCACATGCAGCAGGGAAAACCCAAGAAGGACAACTAGGGAGTGAGCGATCCCAGCCCCGGGCCAGACCATGTAGCCCAGAGTTCCAGCACCAGAAAATAAAGCCTCATAACCTCTGGCTTTAAAAACCGGTGGGGGTTAGGGTGGCGGAAGAAACTGCCAGTCTCTCAGGAGAGTCCATTTAAAGGGCCCACAGGGTCCTAGAATGCATGCAAACCCACCCACTCTGGGAATTAGCACCAGGGCAGCAGCTAAAAGAGCACTAGTTGCTTACAGGAAGTGGGGGATGTGACTGGAAATGGGGTGAGAGCCCACCAAGCAGCATTGTTTCCTCTCTGATCCCTCCCCCACATACAGAGACACAAAGCCACCAAGCAGGTTACACTACCCTGGCAAATACCTAAGTTTCCACTCCTTACAATGTAACAGGCCTGACACAGAGAGTCAAAGCAGCTCTACCAATACACAGAAACACAGGGAGGCTGCCAAATTGAGAAGACAAAGAAATATGGCCCAAATGAAAGATGAGATCAAAACCCCAGAAAAAAAACTAAGCAACATGGAGATAGCTAACCTATCAGATGCAGCGTTCAAAACACTGGTGATCAGGATGCTTAGAGAAATGATCAAGTATGGCCACAAAATAAAGAAGTGAAAGCTATACAAAGTAAAATACAGAAAATATGCACAGAACCAACAATGAAAGGAAGGAAGCCGGGACTCAAATCAATGATTTGGAACAAAAGGAATAAACATTCCACTGGAATACAAAGAAGAAACATGAATTCAAAAAAACGAGGAGAGGCTTAGAACTTCTGGAACAAATTTAAATGTACGAATATCCGAATCATAGAAGTGCCAAAAGAAGAGGAAGAGCAAGAATTGAAAACTTACTTGAAAAATAATGAAAGAAAACTTCCCTAATTTGGTGAAGGAAATAGACATGTAAGTCTAGGAAGCTTAGAGAGTTCCAAACAAATTGGACCCAAAGAGGGCCACACCAAGACACATCATAATTAAACTGCCAAAAGTTAAAGATAGAATCTTAAAAGCAGCAAGAGAAAAGGAGAGAGTTATCTACAAAGGAGTTCCCATAAGAATTATCAGCTGATTTCTCAAAAGAAGCCTTACAGGCAAGAGGGGACTGGCAAGAAATATTCAAAGACATGGAAAGGAAGGACCTATACCCAAGATTACTCTATCCAGCAAAGCTATCATTTAGAATTGAAGGACAGATAAATGCTTCCCAAACAAGGTTAAGCTGAAAAACTTCATCATCAACACCTTTTTATATGAAAAGTTAAAGGGACTTACCTAAGAATAAGAAGATCAAAACTATGAACAGTAAAATGACAACAAATAAAACAACTATCAGCAACGGAACCTAAAAAAATAACAATGAAAACAAATACTAGGCAAACAACCAGAACAAGAATAGCGTCATAGAAATGAAGATCATGTGGAAGCTTATCAGCACAGAGAGGGGAGGCGGAGGATGGGGGAAAAGCTACCGGAAATAAGAAGCATAATTGGTAGGTACAAAATAGACAGGAAGAGGTTAAGAATATTACAGGAAATGGAGAAGCCAAAGAACTCGTATGTATGACCCATGGACATGAACTAAGGGGGGGACTGCTGGAGGGAATGGGGGTACCAGGTGGAGTGGAGAAAAGGGAAAAAAAAGTGGGACAATTGTAACAGCATAATCAATAAAATACAACAATTAAAAATGAAAGTAAAACCAGACTGAATAGACTATGATGTAAGATAGCCTTTGGCTTCATTTACCAAATGTAAATACACATAAAAATAGGGTATTTCCTTACCTATTTCACCATGCTTTGTAATGGGACCTGCATGGATTTTCAATATATCTAATCTTGCTTGTTCATTTGGTAAATCAATATCTGAAAATAAGAAATTATAAAAAATTCTTTTGTAGTTATTTTTTTTGCTTTAATTGTGTAATAAAGTAGGGGGTAAGGAAAAGGTATGGAAAGAGAACTGAATAAGGACAAAGGAAATGTACAGCAGGTGGAAGGCCTTAACTCACGTATTTTTCTATCTAATCTTCCTGGACGGAGCAAAGCAGGATCCAGTGTATCTGGTCGGTTTGTAGCCATGATCATTTTAACTCTATGAAGAGTATCAAATCCATCCATTTGATTCAGTAACTAAGTATTTATAAATAAAAATCATAAACAGATTTTACAAAGCATCCTAGCCATTAAAAAAATACATAGGTACAACTTTTATACGCCTAATACCATGAAATGTTTGCCTACAGACAGCTATGTAACATTCAAAATGATCATTTTGTGGAATCCTGTTTTTTCTCTTATGTTAAGGAATGTACTATCCATACTTTTTATAGCTATCAGGTAGTTTTAGTAAGTCTGAAGGTTTCCATCTTGTCAAATATTATAAAACTAAACTATGTGGATCTGATTTCCAATGTTCTTTTCATTACTTTTAAAAATAAAAGCTAATAATACAATCTAACACATAAAGTGCTTATGGCATGCATGACATAAAATTTACATTAGGATAACCAGACACAATGATTTTTCTACAAATTTAATAATAACTCCATTAAATATCTTTTCAAATAATTCTACTATACATAGAAATAGTGAGACACTAACCATATTTCCTTTGCTTCTTAAAGTTTTCTTGAATTTTGAAAAACCTAACCACATTCAACAAACTCTTTAAAATATACCTGGCCTCACATGTCTATTTCTTTCCCCAAATGCATTAGCTAACATACCAGTTACATGAATAAAACTAATATCAGTGTTGTTTTAAAATACCTCAACTTAAGGTCTCTAAGAGACTCTATAACTAATTTTAAAATACTGCATATCTGCGCGGGCTGGGAACTAAAATGTCCCAGGTTCGATTCCCAGCCAGGGTACATTCCTGGGTTGCAGGCCATAACCCCCAGCAACCGCACATTGATGTCTGTCTGTCTGTCTGTCTCTCTCCCTCCCTCCCTCCCTCCCTTCCCTCTCTAAATAAATAAATTAATTAATTAAATTAAATAAATAAAAAATCTTAAAGAAGTAAAGAATTATGATGAATTAAAAAAAACAAACAAAAACAAAACAAAACAAAACAAAAAAATACTGCATATCTTCTGAGCAAATAGTATAACTTATGAAAAGTAAGTTTCAAATACCCATACCCAGGCAGAATTTGACATTGCATTACCTATGCTACCTAGCTTCTATTTGTAGAAGTTGAAAACATATTTGGGCTCTTGCCATTACTTTCACAGATTTTGGGATGGGGAAAGGTGTTATGTACATTTATCCCAGCATCCATCTTCTTCAATTATCAACACTATTCAGTTTCCTCTCATTCTCAGCAATATAGTAAGAAAGGAAAGTGTTAGTGATTTTTAGAGCAGCCTCATACATAACTCGTTTATTGCCACTAGTTTTACTATGTCCATTACTCATAAAATGTCTAATAAAACTATCATGAGATCATACCCACACTATAAGTAGTACCATATACAATTTAAATATCTGATTGACTGCAAAATGGGAATTTTGTAGATGCCCCTATTATTTTCTAATAGTCATTTTCTTACTAGAGAGTGTGGTGGAGAAATGTGTTCATTCCTGTCAGTATTTTCAAATTTCACAGTCAAGTATATTCTTCATTTGAACTACGATACATATTTAACCTTCAAATATCTGAGTTTACTTCTTTATTCAATAAACATTGATTTCTCCATAAGCCCCCTTTACCACATATTACCTCCATTAAAGTTCTCTGAATCTCTCTATCAGCTGAAGTGCCCTCAGAAAACCGACGACCACCTAAAAATAATTACATGGAAGCTCATATGCATTATTCTTTTCCTCAATAACTATCATTTAAAAGATAGGATATGATAGTGTCTAGGGTTAAAAACATTAAGATAAAAATTAGGTATTAAGAATTATACTGACAAAATTAATGATTTTGGTATAACATTTCTTATTTTGTCAATGTCAAAGGTTATACATTAAAACTGGTTAAATTTTAAGAATTTTTAAAAAATAACACCCAATTTATTTTGCTACTTCATAAAAGTAGCAATTAGAAAAAAAGGAAAAAAGTTCCTTTAGATTTAAAAAAGTTTCCTAACACTACCAAGAAAAGTTTAAGACAAAAGTTTAAGATGTTATTCTTACCGATAGCATCTATTTCATCCATAAAAATGATGCATGGCTGATGATCCCTAGCATAATTAAACATTTCTCTGATCAACCGAGCACTTTCACCAATGTACTTGTCTACAATAGAACTAGATACAACCTGATTAAAGAAAAAACATTAAAGTAAACATAAGATAATTCAAATAAAATTTAATCTCAACATCTACAAAAAGAGTCTTCCCTTTACCTTTAAGAAATTGCAGTCTAGCTGGCTAGCAACAGCTCGTGCCAAGAGTGTTTTTCCTGTACCTAGGAATAACAAAAGAAGTTCTAATTAGACAGAAAGTAAAACTTTCGAAAGCCTTTTGAAAATATAATCCTTTGACTAGTAAATTCTGCAAAATGGAAGCTAAATCCTAAACAGAATTTCCAGTGAAAATTCCACTGTACTTCTACATTCAATTTTAAATTTTATTCAAAATGGTCCTTGTAATCTTATTTTAAGCATACTGAATATAACTTTGGAAATATATCAAACACTATGTATAAATAGACTACAATAGAAACTTGTTACATTAAAATACATTAATCTGTCCTGTACACTAAATGGATCTTTTACCCATGCATGACACTGTATATCAAGTATTGATTATTTGGAAACTATTAACTTAGTAAGTTATGGAAATCTTCGAAATGTTGGTTATTTTTCATTATACAGTATTTAAAAATCACACTTGTTAGTATTACCACCAATCTCATCTTTTTAAATGTTAACATAGTAGAAAGCTATCAAGCTCACAGTGCTGGATTAAATTTTCAAAAACTCTAATTTCTCCTTGAAAGGTCCAATTTTATCACTGGCTACAAATGATGTCAGTTGTTTTCTTTATCATGACAGGCTAACTTTATTCATTTGTGAAAAACTGTGCCAGGTAACCAATAATCAGTATGAATAACCAATAACCAGTCTGATAACCACAGATTATCTATAAATTATTCTTTCAGCTAAATTGGCTAGCAACGAAAATAGTTGCACAAGAGATTAATTATCCTATTCAATAGGCAACAAAAGTACTTTATATGTATCTTCCATTCCATCACACAGAATAAAGATGGTATTCAAGTATCAAGATTTAATAACACTAATAATTTTGCCCTGGCTGGTGTGTCTCAGTGGACTGAGTGCCAGCCTGCGAACCAAAGGGTCGCCGATTCTATTCCCAGTCAGGGCACATGCCTGGGTTGCAGGCCAGGTCCCCAGTAGAGAACGTGTGAGAGGCAATCACACACTGATGTTTCTCTCCTTCTCTCTCTCCTTCCCTTCCTATCTCTCTATAAATATGTAAATAACATTTAAAAAAATAATTTAAAAGATAATTTTTACTACTTTACCAAAGGCATTTTAAGTGAAACTGGCTTTAAAAAAAATACTCCAAGTAAGTGGTCAAAAACACATGGACTACGAGCACCACTTCGTGCCACTGGCTTAACTGATTCATGCTATGGCATGAGCAGTCCTACCACATTGGGTTTGCAAGATCGGCACAGACACCAACACAGTGAAAAAGCACCTAACATCCTAGCATTATGAAAATAAGTTTTGACATTGCAGATTCCCTGAAAGTGTGTCAGGGACACCCAAAGGTCTGTGGACCATGTAGGACCATTACATTAGAATCACGTTTAACATTTAGCATGTTAAAATATATAGTTGTCCCTTGAACAACATGGGTTTGAAATGTGCGAACCCACTAATATGTGGATTTTTTCCAATAAATATCTGTACTGTTTTCAGTCCACAGTTGGGGGTTTGTGCAGGCAGAGGGCCAACTGTATGCATTGGTCTATGCCATTTTATGTAGGGGACTTGAGCATCCACAGATTTTGATATCCCTGTGGGTCCTAGAACCAATCCCTGACAATACTAAGGATAGTTAAGTTCTGGGGGAGTCATAAGTCACATGTAGATTTTTGACTGTGTGGGGGGTGGCCAATGCCCCCAACCCCATCCCATGTTGCTCAAGGATCAACTATATATCCCATAAGGCACTAGAGGACTAGGCATGCTGAGAGAACAGCAGACACACACCTCTTATCTTTTCTTACTCCGAACAATGTGGAGGTAGGAAATGCCCAAGTTAAATTTCTAACTTATATTTTTTTATTCCTTAATTCATTCATTAATGAGGTGGACATAATTCAATACCAACCTGGTGGTCCATATAGCAAACAGCCTTTTGGAGGTATTATCCCTACACGCTGGAATAATTCTGGATTTGTAAGAGGCAATTCTATCACCTAGAAAAGAAGTTGTACGCTTCTTAAACAGATGGTAAAGATTCTGATGTACTTTCAAATATTTTAAGTATTAGTATAGTTAGTTATATACATCATAATTTGTAATAGTCTAAAATTCTATGTTATGTAAAACCATATTAGAGGGTTTTCTTCAGATATTTCTTACATCTAAAAATAGTTATATGTTTTTAGATTAATTAATTAAAAACTGTGTGGTTATTTTAACAAACTATACACTTGACTAGAGTGATGGTTACACAGGCATATAATCTGTCAAAACACATTTGAATTGTACACTTAAAACTATGCATTTTAATGAATATAAATTGTGCCTCAATGAAAAAATTACACTACAAAAAAATCACTTATTCAAAAAATAAAAATCAAAAGATATATACTCTTTTGCATTTGGGAACACAACACAAATTATAAAATGGGGAAATATGGTGTTATAACTGCCACTATGAAAAGAAAGTATATAAAATTTTCACACATTGGCAGTTTATCACAGCAGCCTTACAAGAACCACATATTCTGCTTTCAAGGTCCTAAGACTGATTCAAGGAAAAAAAATGAGAATAGAAAAAGTGAGGGTTTAACTGCCCAATTTAAACTCTTTATAATGCCAAAAACTTGGAGATCAACTTCTATTGCATAGTTGAGTGCAGGAGGTGTGATTAAGACAAGCTAAAAGTGTGAGAGATCAATGTTCTGAAGTGTATGCAGATGGAAAAGGGTACCATGTGCACATGTGGTCAGCGTGTGAGAGGAAGAGGGAGGGATTCTTTCTGCTCCTGTGCCTGATGTGGCAAATCACTGTAAAAGACAAGGTTTTACTGTTCCACGAAGCACTTTTCTTCCCCTGTTGACCCTTCATTAACTACAGAGTGAGAATAGGCTTTAATTTATACTTAGGCCAGTGCTTCCTCAATCTTGGTCAAAAAATAATTTGGTTACATAAATTCCTGGAATGCTTGTTTAAATGTTAATTCCTTTGTCCCACCCCCAGTCTACTACATTAAAACCATGCAGAGGGCCTAGCAATCCATATCTTTAGTAAGAGTTCCAGAAAATTTAATATACTGAGGTCTGAAAACTACTAGCTTAGGACTTAAATCAGATGATGTAAACCATTCCAACAGTCTTCATTTATTCCTAAGTATTTTCATCCTAAATTAGGGTGAAGTCAATAGGACAATAAATGTGCTTTAAGGAGAATTGTTAAGAAGACACCTGTGCTATCAAGCAAGGCAACCCTGATTAAATTCTTCACCTAAGAGCTTAAAAGGTTTAAGCCACCCTAAAGCCAGTCATTTTCTTAAACGGCGGTAAACAGCTCTACTGAAATAAAATATACTTAGGACACAGGTAACTTACTTTACTATGAGTGGGAAGCTAACACTAATAAGGTTATAGGAAAAACTACATCACACATGTTATCCAAGCGTGCTCTGACCCAAGTAACCTATTGCGATAATCAAAAACACAAATGTCATGGGCATTGTATTATATCAATTATTCTTAGCTATTTTCTTCTTTGTCAAAAAGAGCAGGATTTTTCTCACACCAAATTATCTCCACATTAACAAACACCTATTAATTTTCACAGCTAGATATTTAGTGCTATTCTTTTCTCAGCAAGAATATTAAATGTGTACTATTCAGTAACCACTATTGGGACAAAGTAATTTCTCATCATCTTTCTCCCTTCAGCAGTCTTTTAAAAAAGATTTTATTTATTTATTTTATTTTTAGAGAGAGGGGAAGGGAGGGGGAGAGAGAGGGGAAGAAACATCAATGTGTGGTTGCCTCTGGCATGCCCCCTACTGGGGACCTGGCCTGCAACCCAGGCATGTGCCCTGACTGGGAATCAACCAGTGAGTGACCCATTGGTTTATATGCCTGCACTCAATCCACTGAGCTACACTAGCCAGGGCCCCTTCAGGAGTCTTAAAAGAAATACTACTTATTGTTAAGTTCAGAAAACAAAGCATACATCACCAACCTCTCTTAATTCCCGAATCTGTTCTGACAGCCCTCCAATCTCAGAATAGGAAACATTTCCAGGGTCTTCATGAGACATGTTGTAAACCAGTGGATCCACCTCTCTTGGCAAATATCTGTGATGACAAGTATTTGTCTTTTAAAAATGTATTTTTGCTCAGTCTACAGATAGAGTATAAATGACCTCTTGAGCAAACACCTGTTGGTGATTTTTATAAAAATACATGTTTAAATTAATTAGGAATTAGTAAAAGAAAAAGAATGACAAAATATCAAATGATCTGAAAAAACATATCTTCCCTCTCAAAAAATGAACTATACAGAATAAAAAACTTACCTCATAATGGTTAGTGTAGTCATATCCAAAGCAACTCTTGTTCCTGGCTTCAGCTTACTTTTGTCAAGCTAATTTTGTACAACAAAAGAAGTTACATAAACACTTAAAAAGGGGACTAACACTCTAACAAGAGCCAAACATTTAGAAGACAAGTAATCATTTTTACCCTTCAGAGAGAACACTAATATTAGGTTATAAACACCATGACAACAGAGGGTATAAATGTTGTAATTCAATGTTATTTCCATCTGCCCGTTTTGCACAACTGCAGCATGAAATATGAAATCACTAATACACAAAGTTTGAGGTGGCAATGACCTTGTTTTTGAGGAAGCAATGGCCTTTAGTATTTTACCTTCATATTTAATATGGTTCTGCTCATTATTTCGATTCAGGCACTGTAATACAGCAACTTTGGCAACTGGTGCCAAAGCAGTTATACAGAAATCTTTTAGGTGAGCTCTGGCCAGGTATCTCAGTTGGTTAGAGCATCGTCCCAATAATCAAAGGTTCCAAGTTCAATCAGGTCAGAGAACATATAAGAATCAACCAATGAAGCGCAGGCTGCAAACCAGTGTCGCAGGTTTGATTCCCAGTCAGAGTACGTGCCTGGGTTGCAGGCCATGACCCCAGCAACCGCACATTGATGTTTCTCTCTCTCTCTCTCTATCTACCTCCCTTCCCTCTCTAAAAATAAGTAAATAAAATCTTAAAAAAAAAAAAAATCAACCAATGAATGCATTAAAAATCATAACAACGAGTTGTATTTTTCCCTCCATCTCTCTTCTTTTTTCTCTAAAATCAATAAATTAAAAAAAACATGAAAAATAAAAAGTCGTGACCAGTGTGGCTCAGTTGCCAGGGCATTGTTGTGCAGAATGAAAGGTAACTGGTTCCATTCCCAGTCAGGGCACATGCCTGGGCTGTGGGCTTGGTACTGGTCAGGATCCCTGAGGGAGGTCATTTACATCTACAGGAAATACATACTCTGGCTTTTTTCTTTTTTATTGTAGATTTAATTTATTTAATTTTAGAGACAGGGGAAGGGAAGGAGAAAGAGAGGGAGAGAAACATCAAGGTGTGTGATACATTCATTGGTTGCCCGTCACATGCCCCCAACTGGGGACCTGGCCCATAACCCAGGCATGTACTCTGACTGGAAGTAGAACCAGCAACCCTTTGGTTCATAGGCTGGCACTCAATTTACTGAGCCACACCAGCCAAGGCTATACTCTGGATTTTTCAGTATTTCCCAGTTTTTTGTTTATTTTGTTTTTATTTATTGATTTGAGAGAGACAGGAAGTGAGGCAGAGAGGCATGGGGGATGGATAAGAGAGAGCAAGGGGAGAGAGAGAGAGAGAAACATCAATTTGTTATTCCACTTATTTATGCATTCACTGGTTGATTCTTATATGTGCCCTGACAGATGAATCAAACCTGTGGCATATTGGGATGATTCTCTAATCAACTGGACTACATGGCCAGGGCCAAATTTTCCAGGTTTCAGATACTCCCTTGCCTTCACACAACCATGAAATATCTTGGAAAAGCCAACTTTTGGCATCCAGAGGGCCCTATAAAGGACATAAAAATCCTGTGTCAGACTAGGCATCTAATACTTTGGTTTAGAAAATGTCATCCTACTTATATGCTAGGCAAAATCCTAAACTTAGAATTAGCCCCTGGGTTAAGTTCCATTCTACACTCATGTTATATCAATGTTTTAAAACCTAAACGTGATATAACAAATACTCAGAGAAAGCTCTTCCCAATGAACTTATAAGTATGCCCTAAGGATACTTCCTAGAGAATAAATAGGGTAATACATAAATTGGATTCAGAGGCTACTAATAATTTAAAACCATTCGGTGGCATTTTTGATGACTGAAAAATAAAATGTGTAGTTATTTCAATTTGCCTATTCTAATTGTTTTTTTAATTTAAATGAATTCATACAAAATCAATTTAAGCTATAGTACTGTATGTAAGTAACATTTCTGAATATTTAAATTTAAAACATAGGTAATTGATAGGGTCTAATCCTTTTAAATCCCCTTCCAAAAAAAGACATTAAAATAAAATGATCTGAGACATTTTCTAGTTCTAAAAGTCTTTGATTTCTAGTTTTGTAGAACCGACTGAGACAACTCAGTACACTAGAAAGTAGAGAATACTGAGGCAAACCCCATGGGTTGAGTTCAGACTTTGCTAATAATTAGTTATATCTTAGCAAATCACCTTTGTGAGTTATGAGCATAATACCTGGCCTGATTACCTCAAGAATTAAATAACTTATATGAAAGTACTTTTGCCAATTATAAAGCAATTATTACAAATGTTAAGTGTTACCTGTCGACGACAACCCACAACATATCTTGGTCCATTTGTAGCTTTGACAATGACTAGAGAAAGAAAAAGAAAAACTTAAAATAGCAAGTAAAAATTAAATATACCCACATTGATGGCAGGCTGAGTTTTATTTCTGTCCTCCAAGAAAATACGTAATTGAAAGAAAATTAAGTCTATGCAAGAATAGCATCTACCTTCACTATTGTCATTAGAATAATAAGCATTTCAAAAGTGGTGGTGGGAGGGAGAGAGTCCACTCTTTTTTCTTTACTAATTAACAATTAATACACTTACATTTTTCTTCAGTTAGCTGCTTAAGTACTTCACCCACAATCTAAGAAGAAGAAAAAAAGGATCACCTTTTGCCAAGAGCTAAAAAGCAATTACCATCACCCCTTATATCCCACAAACTCCATTACCTACCTGCCCAACACTTTGTAGGGCCTTCAGATCATTTTCAGACTTTTCATACTGCTTGGTAAGTTCTTTTAATTGTTCCCTTACTGAAATAATATAATGTGAACATTTTTAATTAAACAATAATCTTAGTGAGTTTGTTACTAAGTCTCACTTAAGTTTGTCTATTTCACTTTACATAATTTTTATAGCTACTATCAAAACACAAAAGAAATTATGAGGTTTGTAGGTACCAGATAAAAACGAAATGCTGTAAGAGAAAGCATCATATTTTTATTTTTTTAATTGACAATACTTATTGTTTGAGTACATTTTAGATTACATTCTTAACAGATAAGACACTGACACTTCCGGATTTGTGACTACAAATTCAAATGATAAAAGTCTGACCTTTTCTTTCCAGGATTTTATTTATTTACTTTTAGAAAGGGGAGAGAGGGGGAAAGACAGAAACATCAATGGGTGGTTGCCTCTCCAGGGCCCCCTACTGGTGACCTGGCTTGCAACCGTCATGTACCCTGACTGGGAATAGAACCTGGTATCCTTTGGTTCCCAATCTGGCATTCAATCCACTGAGCCACACTAGTCAGTGATAAATCTGCCTCTTTCTCGCCACTTCACCTACCCACACGGATTACTACTCTCTGACTTTCTATCCTAATGAGGGCAACAGGTGGAGTGCTCCGCAGAGTTACATGATTATGGTCTTCTTTTAATTCAACCACTCAGGCTTTTCAAAAAAGGTGCACTATCAAAAAATATAAGTGCCCCTTTAGCTGAGCAGTTAAAGGAAACCTGTGTGCCTGATGCAGTACAACTCAAAGCACAAGAGGAGACGAGGAGTGTTATTATGACGGATGGACTCCTCAAGCTCCGTGGGCGGCTTTCCACTCCACTAACACACCAACTGCCCGAGTCTCATCTCTTGCTTGAACTTTCTTGACCTAAGTATCTTCCCTTCTTCCAGTGCCGGGACTCCAGCAGCACTGCCCTCTTTGCACCCCAACCTGGGAAGCATCCCTGGCCCGCTTCTTCCCCAAGCCTCCTCTAGTCCTCTTTCAATTCCATCTCCGGAATGTTCTTTCTGTCATCTGGCCCAGACTGGGCCATCTTCACGCCGAAGGGGCTCTGCTTCCCAATCTCAGGGCCCGATGACAAAGCGCCTTGTCCCTGGACCGAGGCCTTCCCATCGCCAGAGCGAGGTTGCCGGGCTCCGCCAAAGGCCTCCGCTTTGTCAGAGACAGAAGAGTGTTCGGGCACGAGATTATGTGGAAAGAAAGATGCACTCACACTCCTTAAGGCGGCCGTCGATCTCCTTGTGCTCCAGCAGCTTCTTGCGGTAGTCCTGAAGCGCCTTATCTCTTGGGTCCGCCATGATGAGAAGCCGTCGCTCATAGGGGATGCCGGGAATGGCCATGGCCGCCCGGGCGGGGGAAGGGGCGGGGAAAGGGAGAAGGGCCTCCTTGGAAAAGGCGGGTTTGAAGATGATCCCGCCCTTTCCGGTTGGCTCCGCCTCTCTACTCCACCTCTCTCACTACTGCGTCTTCTTTCACGTAGGGCGTCGACGTGCGCAAAAGAAAGCCTCCCACCACACTGCCCCCCGCTGGTGGGGCTGGGTAAAGCAGGGTGCTGTTATTCTGGCCATTCAGAGAGGCCTTGCTATTCTTGAGTCACCACTGTCCTGGAACCACAAAATACTTTGTATTAAGCTAAGATGAGAGTGAAGTAGGAAATGTGCAATCTGTCTATATATAGAGCTTTGATGGCATATCGGTATAACACAATACTACTATCCAGGACCTCCAGGTGCAGACAGATTAGGATATCTCATTCACTCACTCATTCAGTTATAGAGATACAATCTAGTGGGGAGATTAAAAAAATAATTTCAGAGTGTAGTAAGTACTATATTTTAATGGAAATAAAATATGGTAATGTTATAGAGCAAGGTTAGGAGAACTAATTTAGAACAGATATCTGAAATAAGGACCCAGTTGAGCAACAAACTGGAGAAGAATCTTCCAGAGGAAACAGCAAGTGCAAACAAACATCGTGAGGTGCAGAAGAGCTTGGCTCACTTCCAGGACCAGAAAGGAGGCCAATGACAGCAGAAAGCCAGGGGTTGTGGAGATGTGGGCACAAGATAAAGAAGCTGAAATAGGCTGAGTCAGGAATTTGAAGTCTGATAGAACTGTCTTTCAGATTTCTGTACTTGTGGACAAATTACCTAATCTCTCAATATTCTGTAAAATGAGCATACGAATTGCACCTATCTCATAGGGATGTTATGAGTATGAAATAAGATAGTGTGCCTCTAGCTATTAATATAACGTGTGACACATAGTAAGCATTCAATAGCGTTATTTTAAATTTTTATTTTGAAAATAGTCATGACCTCAGTTTTTGCAATACAGGTCCCTAATGCTGTACCATTTTCCAGGATTGTTCCTGGGGAGAATTTATGGTTGTTCTAATAGAATCAGACAAATTCCCTAAATAGAGTCCATTTGATTTCATCTTATCCACTGGGCCTGAATGTTTGAGTTCAAATAGGTAAATCCTATCTATACATATAAAATGTAAATTTACGTGAATTAAGTTATCAAACTCACATAAATGATGTCTTCAAATTTATTAGGAAAAAAATCTTACGTGTGTTTGTGTGAATGTTCTGTTCTGTTTTTCTAAATATAACTGAGAATTGTAGCTGACAATAAACAAGGAGAATGGGTTGAGCAGAAATAGTCCCTTTCCCACTCAGCTGCAACTAGTCTGGTCAAACGAGTCCATCTATACCAAAATATAGCACCTCTGACAACAAGAAATAACAAAGGGTGGATGAGGCAGAGAGAAAAAAGGACAGCTCAATTTGGCTCAATTCAATAAGTATGTATAAGCACATACTAATGTGTTATTTCAACATAACATACCAATATTTTAAACTCCCTTGACTCATGTGTTTTTTTTCCTCACTCATCTGGCAAAATTCCAACTACAGATGAACCTATCTATTTTTCCCAATGCTGCATCAGAACAACCCTATTTCTTCTTTATATGTACCTGTAAGACTGGATTCCTCATCAGAAAATGTAATTCAACCTTTAATTATATAGTCATAAATGTGATTAAATAGTTAGTGTCTTTTTCCTGGTGGACTATAAGTTCCAGGAAAACAAGGACTGTGATTATTTCTTGCTCACTATTGTATTCACCAGAAGATGGTTTATATATATATATGTATATATATATATATATACATATATATATATAATTGAATGAATAAATATGTATGTCAGACACCATGAGAGGTGAGCAGAGATTTTTTAAAAAAGACTAAGAAATGTCATTAGTACTTAAAAAAGTTACACTATCACAGAATAAAAGAGATGTGAGAAAGTAGGGCTAACTTATTTGGGGGGCCATTAAAAGGCATATTATAACAATGATGACACAGATTTAAATCTTCGAAAAATTATTTAAGGATAGTCTCCTAATCTACTTAACTGTAATGTAACATTGATGGATGCCGTGGTTTTAAAATATGTACACAATTTTTTTTAATATATGTCCAACTTCAAGAAGTGGAGCTTAATTCCCACCCCTTCTCCCCTCCACCCCACCCCGTCCCAGGTCTGGTGACTTGCTCTAGACAAATAGAATAAATCGGAAGTGATAGTATACAACTAGAGACTAGATAATAAAAGGGCATTGGGGTCCCCTCCTCACTCTCCTTTGGATCACTCCCTCTGGGGAAAGCCAGCTGTTATGTGATGAGGTCACACCAGTAGATCTATGGAGAAGCTCACATGGCAAGGGACAGCCAGCAAGAAACTGAGGCCTCCTGCCAGCAGCCATGTGAGTGAGCCTTCTTGGAAGCAGAGCCTTCAGCTTTAGGCAAGCCTTTAGGTGACTGAAGCCCTAGTCTTGATTGAAACATCATTAGAAACTGAGTCACATAACCCAGTTCAGCTGCTTCTGAATTCCTGGCCAACAAAAACTGTGAGACAATATGTTTGTTGTTTTCAGCCATTAAGTTCTGTGGTAATTTGCTGTACAGTGATAGAGAACTAATCAGACAGGAACTGATATTTTTCCAGATAGAAACTCGGAAATAGTAGCAGATAGACAAGTAGCAACTACTTTTGCTCACACATCAGGCACAACACTTAAGTCTTCAGAAATTTATCATCCCAAGTACATATCCCCAAGTATTTACCAGAATATACTTAATTAAATGTTTCTCTAGCTAAGCAGTAAGAAGATGCTGAGGTAGGAATAGAAGTTAGAATTTCTAGGCTTTTTGAATAACTCTTCTTTAATCAAAATAATGCACATAGATAGTTTCTTTAAAAAAAAAAAAGCAGTCCTACAAGGCCTAGGTTAAAAAAGGGGAGTCTGCTACCCCACCCTATCTACACAAATCCCATTCCCCAATTCTTGAACATGTTTTTTTGTATATTTATTTCCCTATTTCGACATAATATGCTTATACTGCTATTTCTTGATAGGTCAATTTTAGGATTTATCTTTTGACTTCCTCACAAGGTAGATAAAGATTTAACATCCCTGTATCACTCCAGGTACCCACTTTCCCCACCTTCACCCTCCATATATACAACATATACAAGTGTTGGTTAAATCACTATCCAATATTTGTTTTACTGTGGGGTGATATAAATCAAGTAATACACTATGTAGTTAGATCTGCTTTATTATAAAATTGTTTTGTACTTTCTGGAATGAAACCTGCCTCATTTTAAAAATGGGCTCATTTTTTTTTAAACTCACTTTTTCTTCCCAACTTTACAATACAACTGTCAATTCCCTCTGAATAATGTTTTTCAGAACGCCAGACCATCAGGTATCCCTCCAGTCCCATGCTTGACCCAGGGACACTCCTCTGGGAGGCCTCAGTCCTCTTGCTCTAGTCCAGACTCTCTAGGGCTGTTGCATAGCTTTCTTCTAGGTCTTTAATTCTTCTCTTGTGTGTTATCTTCACTTTTCTGATGCCCACATCTCCTCATTTTTGTTTACTCCTTTGTTTGGATCATATCCTCTCAGTAATTTTTTGAGAAAGGATTTAAAGATATACATTATTCTTCATAGCTAACAATATCCTAATTCTATTCTCATATTTTGCTAATAATTTGGCTGGCTATAGAATTCTCTCAGAGTTTTGAAGACCCTGCTCCATTGTCCTGTAGCTTTTGGTGCTTTTGTAGTTGGTTTTCTGAGATTGAATTCTTTGTAGGGACATTTTTTGTTTTTCTTCCTGAAAGTTTTTATGTCTGTTACGGGCATTTTCCCACCCTAGAATGGCACTCTGTGTGCCCTACCACCTAGATAGCCATCCTTCAATCTTGGCTATTTTCTTGAATTCTAAGATTCTCCTCTCTTTTGTTCTTTCTAAGTGGTACTCTTATTAGTCAGACCCTGTTCTCCTTGAATTAATCGTCTATTTGTTCCATCTCTTCTCATCTATTTCTATCTCTGTCTTTTTATTCTAGTATCTACAAGATTTCCTCAGGATTTCTTCTAAAGTTTCTGTTGAAACTTTTTTTTGTTTTGGCTATCATATATTTAGTTCTAAGAAATCTTTTTTGTTCTCTCATTGTTCCTTTTTATAAAATGTTTGTGTTTTGTTGATATGTTTTTGATGTTATGTTTTTGATGATATTGATTACAGCTTTTTGTTTGTCTTCTTTTCTTCCCTTTTTGTTTCTCAAAGTTCCTTTTTTCTTATTGCTTTTGGTCTCTCTGTTTCATATTGAAGGCTTTCTCTAAAATCTGGCCAGCCTTGGTTTTCTGGTCATAGAGGCACTACAATAAAAACACAGTAGAATTCTGAGTATGCGAGTAGGAAGAGTCAGCTGTTTTGTTGTTTTTGATGCCACTGTTTATTCCTAGAAGAATTCTTTACCCCTTTTCAAGTAGGAGAGAAGGGGTCAGGCCCAATGGGGTAAGAGGAAAGCAGATGTGTGCAGTACAAGATCTGCAGTTTTGGAGCTGAGCCTTACAGGTGGTCTGCTGGAGGGTGGGGAGGAGTTTTAACATTCAGCATGGAAGGACTTTGCTTAATCCACTTTTATTTTATTTATTTCAGAACTCTCTTTTGCCCTTCTCCTTGGGATTGCGCTAAACAGAGTCCCTGTATTTGTAACCACTCTTGTTTCTGGACTGAATAATCCTGATCTTAAAATGCTTTCTAAATGAATTTTAGATAACTTTTATTTGTTTTAGTGAATCATCTGGCAGTTGTGCCCCCAATTTGTCATAGTTTTTCCACATTCATACTTTTTGTGAATTTTCTCCTGTTGATTCCAATCCTATTGTGTTCTCTCCCCAATCCACAATTACTTCTGCCCAAAATGATGGCTTTGCCTCTAAGCTGACAGAATTTGTTTGAATCATAATCACACACTGCCTTGTGACATCTC